CTCTTCATGCTGCTGGCCACCCCTTCCTGTCACCTTCTAGCAGCTCGCCATCTCTCCAGATCTACTCCATAAAGCTGCCGACCTCCTCCACCTACCAGACATACCGCCAAGCATCTCCCACTTCAATCAGTGCCACCGTCACCTGTTTCCAATCCTTCCAGTCGCTGCAGCAGCCCATCGCCACCCCTCCAACAGCTTTCGCAACCCACTCCATCAGATCCCGTCAATGATAATTCTCTTACCACCCATCCTATTGTTCTCGCCTTCACCAAACCAGTCTTCTACCTGCATGCCAGCAGCCACCCACCCCACAACGTCATCGTCCTAGAGTGTATTTTACGTTTGTTGTCGTTTATTTCATATTCGCAAGAGCCTTGTTTATAACCTTTAGAAATCAGTAATAATAATTGAGCTTTTTCATGGTAGTTTGGGTTTTCTCCGGTATCAGAAAGGTACCACTACAATATCCTTGGAGCATGCAAAGAAAAAATTACAAGATTAGGTATATTGGATATGTTGCTGGACTAAACTATAAAATCATGATGCAAAAATATCAACTCTAGAATTTTACAGATGTCAAACTAAAAGCCATCAAAGATACCATCAATACCAACAAACCATTCCGCCACAACAAAGAAAAAAAAAATGCTTCCCCACAAGACTAGTGGAATAAGGAACTTTGAACTATCCACCATTTATATGTTACTGGTAACTAATCCACTTAATATCTCTCTTCTTATTGTGCTATAATAGATGAAAATATGAAATATCTTTTAACCATGACTAATTTAAATGACAATTTCAAGCTTTAAAGTTGGACCAGCATTCTTCCAGTTTTGGAACAGTTAAAGAATGTTTTAACCATAAGACATCAAGTGGCACTAAAAATAAAGAAAATTTGCATGCATACCACTTAATTCCTATGTATTTACATATCTAACACCTAAACTTCAATTTTTACAGTATGTAAAAATTAAAGTTCAGGTGTTACATATGTAAATACATAGGAATCAGGTGGTATGTATGTAAATGCCTCTAAAAAGAATGCGTAGTTGCTAATATATACAAAAACAAATCGATTCATTGCACAACATCCATTTAGATTTGATGTGTTATCTGCCAGAAAAAAGCTGCCTATTTCGATGTATCGTAGATTAACATAACTTGTTGCAATTCAAATTACATCTAAATATGATAAAATCCACGGCAAGCAATTCAGGCAAAAAAGTTGCATGAAAAAATTGTGAAACATATGCAAGAAAATAGAAAAAAGAATCAACTAATCCATATGCCGAAACTATGAAATGTATGATAGCATGTACATGGAGATATATTCAGATTTAAAAACGCACCTATTATTCTTTGGTTCATTTCCAACATCCTGCACAGAACCAAATTTCTTAATTCTTTGATGTGGAAGAATTAAATGTTGAAGCAAAAAAACATAAACAAAAACGAAATAAATATGACATAAAAAAACAGAAATAATATAGAGGTGAAAATAAAAAGAAGCGTGAGAAAAGAAACATCAAGACAGCGAGAATGTTAAGACAGTATGTATCAAACAGTAAGAAAGCAAGGCTCTTCGTTTTGGTATTGGACTACAATAACATCGAGCATAAACAATTAGGAAACTTCATACACGTATATTTTCAGTTGAAATAAGGGAATTTACATACATAGCACACAATTCTTTTGCATTTACATATATCGCCCCTAAACTTTCATATTTACACATTGCACTTTGGTGTTTTAAACCTATGCATGAAAATGTTAATTTCACTTTTAAAAAGTGATAATAGTGTATTTTTGATGTGATATTAAAGATTTGACTGTTATGTGTGTAAATATGAAAGTTTAGATGTGTAATATGTAAAAGCACAAGAAAGCACCGTGAAATAATTGCTCCAGACACTGCAGACCTTTTGACTGCACTAAATTTGGTGTTGGCATTAACAACAACAGCAAAGCCACTTTGGGTTTTAGGAGAGGAGCAAGCATAGAGTTTCAATCACTACTAACAGTTAACCAAACTTAAGAACTTTGTATCAGGGACATAATATTTCATCGACCATTCTGTTAGAACAACAATGGAAATTCATGTTGGCTAATGTTAGCTCAATAAATCAGCCAAAGATTTTAGACAGATTTCTGCTTTCAAATCTATAAATATCTTATGAGAATTTTATCCTAAAATCTTAAGAAAAATGCCTAAATGTAGAGACAATGAGCGTGAGATGGAGGATTACAGGCTGTAAAAACAAAGCAAGCACCAAAAAAAAATAAATAAATAAATACTACACATCACCAGCAATCGAAAAAAAGGCTTGACAAGCTCCGCTGAAGAGGGCAACCTTGATTTGAGAAGTGCTTCAACCAAAACAAGCCGATTCTGCAAACAGCTTACACAGAGCATGTGTTGCAAATAAATTCTTTCATTCAAACACCAAAATGTCCGAGTTTTTATGAGTTTTAACCTCCCAACACCACCCACAATCCTTGATCCTTGAAGACCAGTTACATATCGCATTGTAATGTTATATAAAACACATCTATTAGCTAATTAAGGCATGTGGATAGGTCCCTATGGGCTATTTCCTAAGTCTTCTATGTGAAGGACATCCTCATTTTTATACCCCGTCAGTCACTACAGCATAAGATTTGTCTCCTTTTCATTTGATTGAAGTTCAAAATCTTACCAATTATGAACACGTTATGGACACCAACATTTGGAATATTTTCTCCTCAAGGGATCCACATTTTTCACTCCCTATTGAAGATAATATATATCCGCATAAACAATGCAAGTGTTTTCAGTCTAGCTTGCCACTCCTCAATTTTTTGCTCTTTTCCTCATATATGTTGTAGTGCCTAGTTTTCTCTGGATCTAAGTCTTTCCACAGTCCCCATCCTTCCATTCCACCAGCTGCTCCTCAAGTATCATCACATCATGATGCTTCCCATATAGGCACCCCTGCTCCTATGGCTTCTCAAACTGTGAATTCTCCTTTTACTCCTCGAACATTTGTTGAGGCTATTAGAGGCCTTGGACCTCCAGCTGACTCCTCAGCATTCCTCAAATTTTATACAGCAAGTGCCTTAACATCTCATCACAACATATCATCCTTCTTCAAGGTAAAGTAGCTTTCATTTTATATGAAGAGAAGATTTCTAAGTTCGTAAATTTTTTTAAGATGTCCCAATATGAAGATAATAGATTAATGGCCGACCTGACTTTGGATTGGAATTATACCATCGAACTTGTGAATTTTCATTCTTATTATGTTATCCCAAGAATCTGGTTACTCAAAAATCTTCTCTGCAATAGCATAATATGTGGTGTATGCTTTCCAAAGAAAATCCTGTTACCCAAGATTGTTGTTCTCTAGCTTAGAATCCACTACTTCAACCAATCCATTTTGTTCTCCCATACTCAATTTTGGTAAAATGTTTCAGATAATGCGACTACTGACAAGCCATCAAAAGCTTGGTTATTGGTTAAAATGGATGTTAGTACACATTTGGACAAAGAAATTTAAATTGGCTACACAGTCAGACATTCCTCACTGTTATTGTAATTTTTTTTTCACTACTTCGGACATTTTAGAATACAACCAAAGCTACGAAATTCTCCTAGCAATAGTACCAATAGGAGAACATTCATAAATGATATTACTTTTCTTCTAATGCAATGGTGATAGTTTTGACTTCTTCTAATTTGATTTGTGTGCAAAAGTTTGAATCAACATTAAATGTTGTCTTCAAAATTAATGCCTTATCAAATTGCTAGCCTAAGGTTGAAAATAAAATAACCTTACACGTGCTCACAAAGATTAGAGATCCAAACCCACCTTGAGATGTTTGTTTCTAATAATCATCCTGCTGA